GAGCTCATAGGTAAATATAATATTCATCTTATAATCAACGCAGGACATAGTGATAAAGGAAAGCTTTTTCTGATCAAACAAAGATATCTGTCGGCTACTGATTATTCCTGAGTAAGCCGCTATGGTGTATTATATAATATATTACTACCGTAAATTGTTACTGTGAACAAAAATGTCACATTTAGTCAACTTCTCAAAATAATAGAAAATGCTGATATTGTATCCACGGTAGGTAGAGCATGGATTGGAGCATAAAGTCATATGTAAAGGTTCAACCAAGTGAGGAAAGTTTTCTGAGCGTCATTCACTTGGAAGTGGCCAGAAATAATTCTTTTACATATGGTTCAAGCAGCTCACGACTTCCGGTCTTAGACCAAGTATCCTCCGGATAGCCAAAGAACATCCGTTTGAAGGCGTGCTAAAGAGAGAAGGCAAACCATCCCTGAGGATCCTTTTGACAAATCTTTATAGGAGTTCTAAGTGCCACAGGGACTGGCGTCATACGCTGTCTAAGTGAGAAACTCGTTTAAAGGTGGACCATTTAATCTAAACTGACAAAACAGTTCTCAGAGCAGTTACCTTTGAAAATACACGTTTTCTCTAAAATTGCAATTAAAACATAAAACAATTTAATTGATCATATGTACGATGTTCCATCACCTTTTCAATAAAAATGGAAATCAATAACTCTGCCATCTGCAGCTCACAGCACTGTAGTGCGCTGCCATCACTAGGACTCGCCGGCAGTACGCATTAGCGAAGCGTACAATTTGTCAAATACGAAGGCAAAAGTTGCTAAATAAACAACACCAACAACAAAAACAAAAATCATCGAAAGCGAACTAGAAATTCGGTGGCAACGTTGACAGCTACAACATGCTCAACACGAAAGTAGTAAAGCACTAGAGCAAACAACAAGTGAGACATTGCAATTTTTTGCAGCTCTAGAAAATGTGCATTGATTTTTATTTTTCAACTAAAAAACAACTACAACAACAACTCAAAACAAAACGCGCACACAATATTTCGGCTTTTATTTGTGGAATGGACTTTGTCACTTGGTTTTTTGGCAAGCGTGTGGCGCTGCCTCTTCGGGTTGCGACAGCCGCTGCACGTTCAGCGTGTTGGCGACAAAAAGCCGCCATGTTGCGCACAAAGCGCCAACAGACAGCCACACACACACACACACATGCACGCAACAGAGGCAGCCAATACATGCGTGTACATATTTATGCGCCAACACAGTTGGATTAGGGGGGGTTTTGGGGGTGCGGGGAGGTGTATGTGTACGGCACATATGCGCTGAGTGCCTGTGGCGTGTAGCCACGCGCGCGGATATACGGTTTATGGTATTTAGCACTTAGCTTGCGGCTGTCTTCTTGCACAAACACTGTTGTTGTTGTTGCTGTTATTGCTAAAGTTGCTAGTCGCTGTCGCCAAATGACGCGCCAACCGCAGTGCGCTCGAATGGCCTGCTGTTAGCAACAACGCATTCACGAATGTGTTCGTGTTGCTGCTGACGCACGCAATATTGCAATATTTGTTGTTATTGTAAAATGAAAAACAAAAAAAATAGCAAAAGCGAATTGGCAACACAGTCAAAGGCAAACTGCAGGCATTCCTTTCGCTTTTTGCTGTGATTTGCCGGTCGTTCTTGCCTCTTGTTGTTGTATTTTAATTTAAGCGGATATTTAACGCTCGCAGCTTGAAGCGCATGGCGGCTAGGATGTGTGGCGCAGCGTTTGCCAAGTGCGTTTGTTTGTTTGTGCAGTGCCATAATCCCAGAGTGGGTCGCAGAGGAATGTGACAAACAGCAACACCAACAATTATAATAACAACACCAACAATAATAACAACAACAACAACTACAAATAACGGCTCACATACTGTTTCCATAAACTCGGATACACAAGTATTCATAAATACTGCCATTTTGCTATGCCGGGGGAAAGGGTGACGGGCGGCAAGGCTTTCGACAACAAAAAATAGAAGTAAAAATAATGCTTAAAAAATGCAAGTTGACCTTTGCTTACATAGCGGGAATTTATGTGCCCGCGCAAATGTGCCAAAATCTCTGCAAATATCAGCAGAGTTATAGAAAATGCAACAAAAAAGTTTTTTGGGTGAATTAAAAGTTGTGCAAACATTATTCGTGGCCTATAAATTTCGAAAATGAATTACGACCCAAAAACTATGGAGTTTTTCGGTTTATTGCTGTGTTTTGTTAATGCTTGTTTTAAATGAAAAAGTGTAATTGATAAGTTTTTTAATTTTACTCTCTTGTTATTTCCAATATATGTAACTGTATGTGGCCTCGAAACTTTAATTTTTAATATAAAGCCGACACTTTTCTTCTGACCTTTCTAGCTTTGAAATGCAACTTCGATTCAGATTCAGAATCCATTTGATTAACAAGCAGTCAAAAAATACGTATTAGTGGAAAGACTCACTTAGTTGCAAGTGGAGAGATCAATCTTAAGAAAGATTCTGCAGTTCGCTTACGAAGTTTCTGATGGGTTTATGGTCCTTTCGAATTGTTTTGGTGGTTATTTTAGGTATTAAACGCGTTCTTGTTCGACCCGTCCCAATAAAATTGAATGGTTTTCAAAAAGAGGACCGGAAATAGGTCTCTTTGGGCATGTTTGATCGTGCGAATTCTGATTCCACATTCATAGAGAGCATTCAACACGTCAACAATCAATCGAAGGAAGGAAATAAACTAGGCGAAGCAAAAAAAAAAAAAAAAAAAAAACTTTCTTCCGGAAGTACAAACGATTAAATAAGGAGCGCTATTTAGCCGTAATGAGGCGTTTCCGTCGAAACGGCCAAAAACGCGATGAATAACACTATCGACATCGAATACCGTGGTTTACTTTTTAAATTTAGCACTTAAACGCATTTTCGATAATTTATCCACTTCTAACAGCGATAATTTATTCACCAATATCAATGTCTTATCTACCAGCTAATATAGATAATTAAGCAATAATCTTATATGTCGATAATTTATTGGTCATCGAATATACCGTTAATTTATCGATTAATATATCGATAACGATACTTGTTATTTATAACATTTAAGCACTTTTACGTATTTTCGATAATTTATCGACCATCTAACATCGATAATTAAGCGATCATCTAACATGTCGAGAACTCATCGATACTCTGATATTATATACTGATAATTTATCGATAGGTATATTGACATTGTGAGACCGATAATTTAGCGATCATCTAATTTATTGATAACTTATCGATATATCGATAACTTATATCGAAAAAGCTATGAAAAACATCAAACTTCATATATTTCCTACAATTTTTGCACTTCAAAGGCATTTTCCGACTATAATGACTGCAAGTCAAGTAAACTGATTGCATGTGTGTTTGTGTGTGTGGATTTGTTTGTGTATGGAAACGTTTACTATTTTCCGGCATTGCTGATTTGTATAATTAAACAAAATGTTACATAATTAATACGATAATTGCTAAGCTGGCAATAATACCAATCAAAATCGCAGTGGAAACGGTAGTGGTGAGTGAAATATACATACATACATACGTGATCAAATACATATGTATATGTAAATAAATATACATATGTATAGTACACCGCTCCATGTAGTTGTCTATTATGTAAGGCGATAATTAAAATGTAGACAACAAATGGGGTAGCGCAGCTAACTACACACATATATGTATATATTAACATATAGATATGAAGATTCATATAAACCTATGAGCAATATATATTGCTATGCATATTTACTTATGTGTGTATGTACGGTTGTATATTTATTTAGAAAAGTGACTAACTGTCTGAAAACATGGAACGCGTTGGACTCAATTACAGACTACGCCGCAGTCGAGCTTGGAAAGCCCGTAGCGCACAGCGCAGTAACAGACAGATGTCTGTCCAACTAATCAAGTGTCTAAGTGTTATTTCATTGACACTCGTAATTGGCAAAGCGAGCATATATTTTCAATAAAATTGTTAAATTTAAATATTTAAATACATCATTTTATAACATTCGTAAGTTTAAGTGTTTCTTTTTTAAACTGTTGGAAACAAGTGAAAACATTTATAATATTTAAATATAAGCAAAAAATTAATTTTTCTTACAATAGTGTCTGCGGAAGTAAGGTTAGCTTCTGACTTATATAACTTGAAGATCAATGCCCTTGAAGCCTAAAAATATCTAATAAAATTTTAATTCGATATAATTTTAGAAAGGTATCGGAGGGGGTCGTCATAATCCACGATAGAATTTGGTCAGAAACTATATTCCGAATATAGGGAAATTTGTCTGAGGAAATAAAAAAAGTCGAAGGTCCTGGCAGCCAGTGCTCCTTTTTTCGTGTAAAAAAATAATTGTATTATAATTGTATTATTTTTTTTTCACATTTATAAATAAATAAAAAAAAGTCTAGTCTTAGTCTAGTCCTAGTTTTCCAGAAACGAATTTCTATAAAGTTCGGATTTTTCGAAAACTTAAATCGAAGAATGTTTCCAAGGAACTCTTCCCACTGTCTTTTTGATTTATAACTAAATTTATTCTCATTATGTCTCGTCCAACTACTTCTGAATCATTTTTTTTTTTTGATTTGGTAATGAGAAATCATAACCATAAAGAATGTTGTCGACTGAATCTGCCGAAATGACTTCGGTGAACCATCTAAACATTTGTTGTTCTTTGATTCAGTGATTATGTTTACTGAAAATATTAATACGAGAGAGTGAGAGCTTTGCTCTCTTTTCAAAAATATTGCACAGGATAGAAACAATAGTAGAATGCAAAAGAAGAGAGTATTGGAAGGCCTTATTAAAGTCATTGAAGTCACATATTACTGGCTATGGTACCGCTATTGGATTCTGTAGATTGAGCCCTAATTGTGTGTTAGATTCACCACTTTTCAGTTGCACATTACTAGGTATAGTCGCATATTATTGCAAGGAAAAGTAATATATGGTATAATTAAATCACAAAAGTACTCACTCAGTATTCCATATATTATAATAATAATAGATGATGAGACGTGCAAGCGTTTTGTTGAAATCCAGTATAAGATCTGACTACTGAAATTATAAGATATATAAACATATGAAAGGAGTATTAAAAATTTCTTTAAAATATATATTACAAGGGATTTTATTGTTTCTTATACTAGTTGTAAACAATGTTCTAATTTCAGCATAATTTCTACAAGTGCAGCTTTAAATCTAATAGGCCAATAGTTTCTTGCGGTAAATTTGGAAGCAGAAATGTAAGTATGAGGAAATAAGGAATAATTTTTTTTTTGAAATAGTACGGAAGCTATAATAAGTAGTTTCACAGGTGTTTTGCATATAGCAACTGTATATATGTATATTTAAATCTGAAACAGGCCAAAAATTTGAATCCAACGGCAAATATGTTGCTAATTCTTTCTAGCCATTTAGTCGAATTAAGGTTACTTAATAAGGAAAATGTCTTTCATGAAGAACTTTATCTTGTTTTCGAAGGTTACATAGTATTGTGGACGATTTGTTCGGAGATTGTGAAAATATCTTCTCAAATGATCAGGTGATGGAAGCATTTGATTTCGATCGTTAAGTTTGTAGGGCAGATATATGCTATAGTGATACGATCTAAACAATTTCGCAAATATTGCATTATTGTCGAATATAAATTTATAATAATAAAAGAAAAATCCCATACCAAGACTTGGTTTTGATCACTCAGTGATCCGATATCGTCCATTTCGACGAAGTAGCAGCTTCTTGGGAAGAAAAGTACGGTGTAAAATGTTCTTTCACGATAACTCAAGAACTCAGCACAGGAACAGACAGACCAACATTGCTAATCGACTCAGCTAATCACGTTTATTTACGTGTTGTTCTGGCAGAAAACATCCCTGAAGTAATTTAAGGATAACTGCTGAGCTGGTAGCCCTTTGCTAGATCAGAATACGGGTTCATTTTGGTTACGTAGGCCCGATTGTAGGAAGAATGGCATAACGCTGGACATTTACATACATATACTTGTATGTATATTTTTTTTGTGCTAAAACCGAGAATGCGGGGTCTACGCCAATAAAGAAGATGAATAAGGTATTTTACAGAGTCTTCGTCGTTTCATGCTGGGTATTACAAACATCGTGGCGAACTTAACATACCCAGAGCACAATAAGTGGTGTTCATAAAACAAATAACTCTAGAAAATTCTTTAAAAATTTTACCACCGCGTTAATTTATGGATTCTAAAGCGAGATCGAAGCCAGATCTAAATCTAAGAAAACGTTTTTTTTATTACAAAAACCTTTTGAAATTAATAACAATTAGACAGTGTATTTCTGTCATGAATCAACACTTATAAAAAACTTCCAGCGGCACGTAGACAGCAAAAATTTAGCCACTACTTAAATTGTTTCCCTTATAACTCCCCAAAACTAACCACAAATCACGGAAATCGGAAATAGTTACGGTGAGAACTGCAGTCCCATCATTACAATCGCATGCAACGTCACATAACACCCATTATAATAAAGTCTATAAAGTAATTTCTCGCTAAAAAATCAAATGTGACTTTAAATAAAATGTCGGCATTTCACATTAGCACATTACGACGACATAGAAATGCATAAATAGCAAGATTTAACTTGCCGCCACACCGGTGATTGCGGCGTGACGCAGCGCACCCGTACGATACCGGAGACATCTGTTCGATGAGCTTGATGATGTTGTCTCCAACGCGAATGTGCGGTGCTAAATAATTAAGTGTTTGCCCTGTTCTCAACTGACAACGGCACGGTTGGAGGCGATTTGTCGACTGCCTTGCATGCCAGCAGCTAAAATGCACATACACATATACAAACATACCCACATATAAGTGTGTACACCTACAATGCACGTATCTCATGTTATTTTTACAACATTTTATTTAGATGAACGGCTGACAGCCGCACAGTCGGCTAACTTTTCAAGATGCCAACGGTTAGTAAGCTTATATGTGTGTGTAAGTATATGTATATATACATTTCTGTATATGTGCATACATATAGGCAAGTATGTAAATGCATGCATGCGTTTGTATGAATCTGTGTCTATGCAATTGGCGTTGTGCTCGCGCCCGCTACTCCACGCGGCATGTGGCCGAAATGATATATGTTTTCTATTAACATATTTTACAGTTAGAATATTACTTGAAAACAAAACAAAAAAAAAAAAACAGAATTACGTATTTTCCATGCTATTTTGCATATTGAATATTTATAGTTTAAACGGCACATTATTCTTTGTGTGGCCTTGTCTGCAACATCGCATAAAATGCAACAATTGCATGTGGAATTAATGGTGCGATCACGACCCCTATAAGTTTAAGAATGCCGATGATTAAGTGATTTTGCACAATATTAGAAATATATTTTTAACTGCGCTTGACAGATCGCCAGTACTTCATGCACAATTTTATGCCCAAAGGCAACGTGCTACTTAGAGATTTGCATTATCATTAAGAGCTGCATAGATTAGAGGCATCGGGGATTTTTCTAGAATTAACGTATCTTGAAAGTACTATATGACTAAGCAAATAGTCCGCAATAACCTAAATGGTGTTGTTGTAGAAGCAGAAAATATATCCTAAAACATTTTGAAGAATACCGCCGATTTGACAGTCCGTGACCAGATAAAACTTCGGGTCCGGGAACGGGAATCCTTGCCGACAAAATACTTTCTCACTATACATCTAACTCGATCTTGAGACCTATGAGGAGCTAAACACAACGTTTTTATTTGCCAATAGAGAAGAATGGACCAGTGGTGCTGTGATCGACGGAACTAACGACGAAATATACATATTCACAGAAAGATGATAGGGTGAAATAGTAGCAGGAGCGGGCACATTCTGTAATACTCTATGCACCGAAGGTAGCTTCAAACTAAATTACTACAATTCGTTCCGTTAGGAACGCATAACAGAAGGTGCCAAGTGAGCCTCTGCTCTAACTAGCATGTCCATAAACCTTCTAGTGGCTAACCAAGCAGCAATTATGTTAAGGCTAACCGTAGCGCTAATACCAACTCTCACTGCATTAGGTTATGAAAACAATAACTAAACTGTAACAGTAGGTAACTCGGTTAATATTATCTGTGTACCGGTCATATAGGAATAGAAGGAAAGGCAAAGCCAGACGAGTTTCCCCGCTCGGAAGCAACTGAATACAGAATTCCGCTAAGCTGCCCAGGCCTAGAAGAATAACTTATGTCTTTAGAGCAGTGTTGACGGTAGACAGACCAGAAAGCTCTTACTTTAAGGCAAAAGGGAGCTTAGTAACATTGTATGGCGTTACCTTACCTTAAGATCCCATCTTCGAAAAATGGAATAAATGATGTCGGCAGATTAGAGAGCATGCGAGATGGATGTTGAGACGCTGGAACGTGGTAGGTCGGACATATTCCCAGTCTCCCAATGCGTCAATTTAAGAGACATTGGACAGCTGGGCTGGAAAATAATCCGGGGTGTTTAGCAAATCTACAGAGTCGCTGGTTAGGCTTCAATTGGTTATCACATGGGAGGACAATGGGCCTAATAATCAACCTTACGCCTTAACATTCAGAATTCTTAAATATTTGCTTGCTTAAAATCAGTAAATGTATTCAGTACTTTACAAAAGTCTACCAATACCAGTTCGGTGATCTATTAATGTCGTCGAAAGGCTGATAGGTAACTTGTCATGACATACACCTTCTCTATAGCGCTCATCATTAGCCAAACCGATGTTTTGGTTAGTATTAAAAAAAGAAAATAGACCGATGATCTCATAAGTTGTTACTAAACTCGACGAACTCTCATTACCAATCGTACAATTCTTGTCAACACGAGTACTTTCTTGCATTTTTGGTATTTTTGCTCTCTTATTGAGCCAAAATTGCTTCCTTATGCTAATTTATCGGGATATATATATATGTATATATATTTGGAAATATTCTCCGAAAAACTGGAAACTGTCCCGGCAAATAGTTTCGATAAAGTTACGGTGTTTTTAAGCATAGTTCTACTTAATCGACTCCCAAAATTTTAAAACCTTTTTCTCGAAACGGGATTTTCAGAATCGTTCAGGATTTTTCCAAAATAGCTGAACCGATCGACTTGAAATTTTCGTACGACCTTTCGAGATATATTTGCCACGTAATGATCGATGCAATAATATTTTTAATAATAATTTTGATTCACTCAGCAGTGTGAATTTAAAAAAAAAAAATAATATTTTGTGAATTTTTCGAAAAAGAAAACATATTTTTGGGGAAGTCGCCATTTTGTTAAAAATCTCAGCTTTGTATAATATTTTGATCATTAACTGTATTCATATATAGTAAAATTATTTTCGTTTTGGTTTAGAAAAAATATTTCTGCATAGGTAAAATCAACTTCTCGAAGCTCAAAAGTAGTGCAAAAGTCACAAAAACCTTAGAACAGAGGCGGATTATAAGCCCAAGGGGGGTCCACCGCTAGGTAAATGAAGACATTAAAGTAAATATTGACTTTGGTATTACAATTATTTTTGAGCTTTTGTTTTGATTTTTTGGGGCTTTAGACATCAGCTACAAAAGTCAAGATAAATTTAAGCGCCTACGCGAACTGTTTATATATAAATTTATATCCAGAAACAGACGCAGTATACACACGTACCAATTTGCTTAACCCTGTTAAACGCGTTAGTATGTGCTTGTATTTGAGTATGTTTGTATGTTGGAGTGTTTACGAGAAAGCGTGACTGTGGCTCTACTTTATTTGTTGTATGTAGATAACTGATCATAAAGTAATAAAATTGTTGCTGCGTAAATTTGCATAACTGTCAGCTGCTCCAGGTCCCGAGCGTTAGCTTGTTAGCACATCACAATTATCTAACCACCACTAAATATCTATGCGAATAGTTTCTGCTAAATCTGCGCAATTATTTACTAAGACTCTATAAACGGCTACAAAACGTTTACTTAAAAGCTAAAATTAGTTTTAAAAGATTAAATAGACGTTGAAATGTTTTAGCATCTGTCGAGGCAAGAAACGCACGACGGAGTTTATTAGTGGCAACTGACAAC